GGGGGGTGGTCTTCAGTGGTGGTTAGGTCACATGGGGTGGCCTGCTTCTCTGAAAGGCTGCTGACCTTGGGGTTGCAATGTTTGGTGTGAATGTTGATTTTGTTCTGGCTGCTTAAGATGAGGTAACTTCTAGTAACCAGGGACTAGCAGTATTTAAAGTGGAACAATTAAAATGTTGATATCCTCCCAAAAAGACTTCTGTATGCCTAGAGCAGATGTCAAGCATACATAGTTCTCCTTAAATCTGCTGTGTGCAAGGACACTTTACTACAGATAACAAAAGAACAATATACAAGTGTTGGTATGGGGCAGATCCAGAGGGGGTACAGTGGTGTGGTTGCACCCACATCTGGACTGTGCTGTGGGAGCAGTAGCCAGGGAATTTTAAGTCCTTGAAGCAGGTAAGAATCCACCTCTCCCTGCACACCTCTCCCTTCCCTCTACTGCTCAGTGGCACCTCCCCACCCCTCCCTTTCTCCCTTCTCCTAGCTGTTGCTGCCACTGTCCCTGGCTGACCTGGCCGGGGGGGACTGCTCCATAGCCACTCCTTCCCTTCTCCAACCAACTGCTTGAGGAGCTGGGTTCAGCTGGGGATAATAGCAGTGGCGGGTGGGTTCTCTGGCAGCCCAGGAGCAGACATGGAGTGGGGAATGCATGTGCCATTGCTGTCCCTGGCCAAGCCTGACTCCTCACAGAGCTGCTCTCTGCAGCTTTGGCTGGAGCAGGGCAGGAGGATCTGGGACAGCCCAAGTAGCTGGCAGGTCTCCCTGCACCCAGGGAGTAAGTAGAGATGTGCAAGGAGGGGAGAAGAGGGGAGGTTCTGCTGAGCACAGAGAGGAAGGGAAGGGGTGCTGAGAAGGGTGGGGGAGGAAGGGGGGGTGGAGTATTCTTACTGCCACTGAGAAGTGGAACTGGTAGCTTCTAAGAAATGCAGTTGCTTTTCCCTCTTTTTTTTTCCACTGCTGTCTCCTGATGCTTCCTAGCAGGCTTGGGGAAGGCTGAGAGGTAGGATCTGCCAAACACATGACACTCTACTGTATAGCATGACTTTTAGTAGCAAAGTATGTTCTGAGTGTCCTTTTCTTTTTTTTTTCCCTGTAGGATTATTGGGAGATTGTGTGGTTATTCACAACTTGAATGAATTGGTCAGGGCATGCCAGTGTCTCCCTTTTTTGCTCTTCTTTTGGCTTGAGCAAGTAAGAGCGGGGAAGCTCTAGCTGTAGGATAAAAGTAGATCACATTTTTGTTGCACTCTTATTTGGGGAGTTTAACAAAGAATTTTAGTGTAGCTAAAGCAGTGCCCTGAAGAAAGCATCTGAACAGACTATGGGTATTGTATTTAATCCTTCCTGGAATGGGAGAACAGCAGTCTGGGGTCTTCTGGCTGTGGGCCTTCTCTTCTTGCCTCACTGTGCTTTTCAGATCTGATGCCACTGCAAGCATGATGCATGTGATGATGCATCATCAAATGAGGAAATTCTCCTCCTAGTTTCCTTGACTTTATAGTCTAGTCTGGTTTATATTCCATCTTTTATAGTATGTGTATGTACACAGTCTCAGATGAGACATTTCATTGCCACTGTTGTTAGTGCTGTAAACTGGAGTGGACTGTTGCCATGTTACAGCTCAGGTTTTATTTTACGAGTTCTTTGTGCTAGAATGTAATTTACCCCGTCTGTGAATTTGGGTACAAATCTACACCAGAGACTGTGTAGTCAAAGTGACCATCTTAGAGGTGAATCTGAATACCTGGTCTTAATTTAAGCTGGGCCATAATTCAGCCTTGACAAGAGTTGGCACTTAAGCAGTAATATGATCACAAACGAAAAAAAATGCACCAGGAATTTGGAGTAGAAGGTGAAGGTTAAAAATTAGCTGCCTCGAGTATCTCTTGCAGCATCGTATAGTGCTGCTTAATGTCCTGCTGGAAGACTTTGCATGCCAGGCTGTTGTATCAAATTCATTCTTACAAACATTGGTCTGTCTTATCGACAGAGGCGTTGCCCTCTGAAAGTCTCATGTTCAAAAACATTTTTAAAAGCATTAAGCTAATGTTCACTATGGGGCTGTACTCCAGGGCTTGCTTTTTTGTTGTAATGTATTGCATTTTTTCAGTTTTTGAATCTTAGTTGCAGGAGGCTGTAAGGAAGAGTACAGCTTGGAGCAGGGGTGGGCAAAATATAGCCCATGGGCCAAATCCGGCCTGCCAACTGATTGGATTCAGCCTGTGAGGGAGTGCCTACCAGTTGATTTAGATGCGGGCTGCGGCTGCCCCCACAGTGCTCCGCATGCAGACAAGCCTGCGCTGCACTCCAGCCCGTACTGTGCTCCAGCCTGCACCACATGCTTCTGGGCCCAGCCCCAGCCACAGTGCACAGCTTCCAGCAGGGCTGCTTCTAGTGTAGCTGTTGCTCAGGTTTTCTTGCATCCAGTAGCAGCTCTGCCTCCTATTCCTGCTGCACCTCCTTGAGTTGGGTGGCTCCTGCCCCAATGTGTGGGGCTCTGACTCTAGCTCCTGGCTACCATCCACCCACTCTGCCTTCCTGGTGTGAGCCACCGAGTGGATGGAGGGCAGCTGGGAGCTGGAGTCGGAGCCCCATGTGCTAGGGCAGGAACATCCCAGCTGAAGCTCCCTGCTGGCCCAGAGCGGCACAGCAGGAGCAAGAGGAGGAGCTGCTGCTGGAGGTGTGGGGAGCCAAGCAGCAGCTACACTGAGAGCCTACCAGAAGCTGTGCGCTCTGACCAGGGCTGGGCCAGCTGGAGCAGCACTGGGCTGCCCTGGGTGGGGCTCAGCCCTGTGCAAAGTGCTATGGGGATAGACATGGACTGCACCACCTGGGTGAGCTGTCCTGGAAAATAGACGAGCAACATTTGGAAGTTCAAAATAAATAAATAAATAAATAAAACATCCTTCATTTCAGAATCTGTGCTAAAAATACTCCCTCTCACTTTAAATGGTAGACTGTTGGCTTGAATGCTGTGGTTCAGGGCTCTCCACCTTTTTGCTTTCTTCCAGCAGCAATCAGCATGCCAGGGCAAGGTGGGGTGTGGGCAGCCACAGCATCACCAGAGGGGAAGTCCTGCCACTGGCCATGGTAGAGAGGCTTCGTGTGGTGGGAAACCTGTGGGTGGAAGTTTCACCACCATGGCTAGAGGCCTCTAGTTTTGGTCATGGTGGTAGTCCTAGCAGCAGTGTTGTGGCTTCCTGTGGCTGCAGTCAGTGCTTCAGGTGCCACAGTGTGTGCAGCCCCAGCAGCCCACAGGTGAAAGTCCTACCATAGACTGGCCAGAGACCCAGATCTAGCTGTGGTAGTGGGGCTTTCTGCAGCAACAGCTAGGGCAAAAGTCTGCAGGCCAGATCTGGCCTGTGGACTGTTTAACATGCCTGCCCTTGGTGCTATTAAACATGGGAGAGAAACAGTTAACTGGGACCCAAAATATTGTAGGTTTGAAGTATGACTTCTGGCTCTGGTCCCTGCCAGCGACTTCAGTGTTAGCTCTTGCTTTTTCTCATTGTTTGTGTTGCAGGCTTAGATGCTTCAGTCACAGAGATACTGAAGGTGGGTGGCACCACAAATAAAAGATTTGCTTACTGAATTTCAGTTTAGTGTGGTTGGCTGCAAAATGAGATTTGAGATAACTAACCATGAATAAACAGGGATGGCTGCTGCCTTTTCACTTGGTGTACTGCTGTCTTAGGCACCGAGTTGAAATGAAGACTGTATAAAGTGAAACTTATGCCAAAGAAAGTTGATAATAGTACATAGTGAAGTTCAGCCCTTCAATGGCTGATTTTTGTTTTTGAGGGGTTTTTGGTGGGATTGGGTTTTTGGGGGGTTTTGTCTTTTTTTTTTGGGTGTGTGTATGTGTAACAATTTCACAGCCTGCTAATGTTCATGGCCCTTGTAGTCTACTGGTATGAGGAGAGTGCATCTTTAACAAGTGATCATACTTACTTTCTCCTCGGCATTCCATAATATACTGAAAATGGATTGTCCTGTATTGCTGAAGAGCTATGTATATCACACAACAGGACTGTTTTTCTGTATCAGCCTTCCTTGTATTTGGAAGGGGCAAACGTACAGCAAAGTCTGAATATTCTGCACAGTGAACAGATGAAGTCACCCATCTGGTCAGACACTATCTAAAAGACGGTTCTTTACTATGCCAAAACTGTTCTGCTTAACCATGTTGGATGCATTATAGGAAATGGCAGCATCTGTTTTAAGTCTGTTTTAGTTCAGCATATAGGAATGCATTATACACATGCAGGGGCACATAATGCTTGCTTCCTTCTCTATTTTTATGTGCCTGTCTAGGCAACACATCCTTTTTCTAGGAGTTAAAAGAAGTTCTTGGAATAACAGTTAGGCTATATTCAGTTAACGCTCTGAAGGAATAGGAACATTGCTGTTTTTGAAAAATAAGTAAAGAATGACTGAATAGTGGGATCATGAGTCAAACTTCTTTGGAACTTGCCCTAAGGGAAAATGTGTCTGGATATCTAGAGAACAGTGGGCTTTGGAACTGGATAGCTGAAACATTTACAGTGGTATAGTTGATATTATTTGGTTGGCTTAAAAAAAAAAATACTGGACATATGATGCCTCACCACTAAATTGGGCTAACTTAATCAAATCTGGTGGGGGGGGGAAATTGCTCCTGAAAGACTTGGTGTAAGTTTTTAAACCAGTTAGTTTAAGCTGTTAAGAGTCTAACCTGACCTAGCTGTATTGCTAAAGGCAAACTGCCTCCTCCTGTACACAACACCAGTAGCAGACTTCAGTAATAGCTGCCTACTGTGTGAGCCACCCTGGGATAGCGGCTATCTCTCTCCTCTGGAAACTGGTGCAACTTGCATTAATATAAGTAAAATTGATATTTTCACTGGTATATGTATTATCTGGCTGGGGCCCTTAATGTGCATTACTATATGGGGTTTTAAACTTTATCTCAAGCATACCTGTTTGTGTATTCTCACTGCTGTTTTTTTTTTTTAGGGAGTCAAGCCAGCCAGCTTCGATAAAGTAGCAATTCCTGAAGTGAAGGAGATAATTGAGGGATGCATTCGGCAAAACAAAGGTGAAAGGTACGGTCCTATTTTTTTTATAGTCTGGAGGCTTGTATTTTAGTACAGACCAAAGTTCTGGAATATCCTGTCAGGCTACAGATTTCCTGTAAGCTCTCTTCTTCCGCTATGAATGTTCATATACAAGACTCGCTTTGATTTCTGGATCTGCCCCATACTTATTGAAAGCATATTTATTGGAAGCGAGCATTTTAAGGACTTTAAGTGACAGTTCTACGAACTTTGCTCTTTGGTAGGTTCCATTTTAGCACAGTTGTTAAGAAGACTTTGCAAGGGCTGGCAGTGAAGATGTATGAAGGCACTAAGGATACAGGTCCTGTATATGAGCCAATACATGAGAATTTCCAAATATCTTTTGTGTAGTCAATAAAATGGTTAGGGAGTAATCTTTGTGGGTTCCTTGGGTCACATACTCAAGTTTCTTCTTACTTTTTGAGCTCTGATTCTACAGGACTGTTTTTTTCTGTATCTCTGGTGTTCTAGTCATTGCCCCCCTACTTCGTGTTGTCTCCCCCACGTTACCTACACTGAGTAGAACAATGACTTATGAACAATTTTCCCTATATTAGTGATAATGTGCACAATGCCTCTCAGCATTTAAGTGACGCTGTTCCAATACTTAGTACTCTGTTTTCCTTCAGCTACTACTAAGAGCACAATCTAGTTTCTGCTTAGGTTAGGTATTTTTTCCCATGCACTAGCCTTGCTGGGTCTTAATGTTAATACTAAGTTTCTTCCATTAACTCCTTTCAGTCTTAGGAAACTCTTTAGCCACATGCTGTTTGCTGAAGTGCTGTGCTTCTTGCAGCCCTTCTGTAGACCATCCTTTTTATTCCCCAGCCTAAAAAGGGTGTTGCTTACCCAGAGGCTGGTACTTTTGACTGTCATGAATCCCATTCTTACTTTGGTAGCTTTTTAAGCTACTGTAGTCCACTAGTCATATCTGTACCATACTACCATCATTGCCTTCAGGTTCACTTCCTGATTCTGATCAGATGATCTGTGGTGTTTGCCCCTTGTTCTCTGCGGACCATAATGTTGTGGCCCATGTTAGCTAAATTGATTCTTCGCGGTTATATTCTGACTTGGTCAGCTTTTGCGCTGGAGAGCAGTGACTCTGCTTCACTGTACCTATAGTTTGACATCATTGTTTACATTCTGCAGGGATCTAGTTCAGACATGCTTTGCACTGGTGTTTTCCAGGTGGCAGCAGCAGCAGACGTGACATCAACTGCAGATTCCAGTGTCGTCTTGACTCTGGAAATACCTTAATCCTTTCTATCTCTTCCTTACTCCATCTTTTTGCTGTAACTTCCTCATAAGAACCACCTCTTAAAGTAACTTCTTCCTCACCTTGTCTTCTGTTGTTTATGTTGCTTTCCCTGTGCTGCATGGTCTTTTCATATGTGCATCTTTGACATTCTGTGTGGTATGCTGTCCTTGCATAGCCTTGTTACGTTTTTGGACTATATCAGCCTTGCTTTTCTGCATGGATCATTTTGCTCTCCTGACTCAAACTGCTTCAGAGCCATTTTTCACTTTGAACTCTACGTGTAAATTTCCCAGCAGTTGCCCTTGAATTCACTTCTTCTGTAGCTTACATCCAACTGAAATTCCTCTTTCTTTTGGGCCAGAGGCACATAACAGATGTGACTGGAATGATTATAAGCCTTTAGATTTGAGTTAGTTTTCCTGGGGTGTGTAAATTATCCTGCACCAACCCATTAGTGCTTCTATAAAGGCTTCTTGCCAGTTCTTCTCCAGTCTCTTCATTGCTTTTGATCACCAAGCTAGGGTGCTTAATTTCAATAGCATTTAACTGGGTCCTCCTCTAAATCTAACTTTACCATCTGTGATTGCCTTTTTCCTTGTTACAACCGTTGTTTCACATTTCTGACTTAATCTTTATCTCCTGTTCTGCATTTGAGGCTCCATGCATCAAGATAGTATTGTAGTATTTCCATACTTCCATCAGAAATTATCCCATCAGGCAACATGGCTTTCACTTTCTTCCCATAGCTTCTTTCTTTTAGTGGCCTTATGGTCCTTCAAAAGATAAGGCACCAAGTGCATTACATGCTTTAAACAGTGCTTTATATAAAACCAAGGGAATAAGTCTTCCCTCACAAAAAAAAAAAAGTGTAATATTTTTATGGCTGGCTTCCATTTCTCTTTTTGTGGTGCCATTTTATTGCCTGGAAGTGTGGCAGGGTTGCTATTTGAGATGTGCTTAAGGATGTAATTAGTCTATTAACTGTAACATATCTGCTAGGGGCCCAAGTCACACAAACTATAATTGCATTTAAGCTTTCTAGATCTTCTCATAGGCTGCTTACAGATGTTTAAAAAACAAACTGCACTTTACCAGAAGAAGCAGCATGTTAGTTTGACCCAGTTCCACAGCATCTGTATAGATCAGGTGCTTCAGCTTTTTTTAAAAAACCTAACCTACTGATTCAATCGGCTATTAAGTAAGTGCCACTAAAGCCCCACTAAAACACCCAATCTATACAGACATTGGGCAAGCTGGGTCTGACTGTGATGCTGCTCCTGGGCATGTGCTGGGCTCCGCACAGCAGCACAGAGTTTAAAGTAAAGCATAGGTTTTCTTCTGCTTAACATCTATAAGCAGCCATAAACTTTAACTGCATCTACCCTTTCTAAAACTTCCCAGAACTCTTCCCTTGCCGCAGTATCATACACTTCACTTATCTACTAAGGGGCAGGTAACATTTCTTATACTCTCAACTCCCAGTGCTGTCCCAACTTATTAGAGTACCTGTCTCTTCTAGTTGCGCTAGTATGTTGTTTATTATTGTAATTCATTAAAGTGAAATACAACTAATAAGAACTTGAGTGGCTATGCAGGTGAATTTTTAAGCTGCATGATTCTGGAAAGCTTTGATTTATTTTATTGCACTTTCCAGTTCCCGTTGCTCGAACCTCTTAACAGTGAAACGGAAATCTGTTTAATTTTCCTCTATTAGAGCAGGAATTTTAGTTGGAATTTATATGGAATGTTGTAAGTTTTTGGAGTTGCCGTTATGGAAGGTGGTGATCATATTGAAATCTAATATTATTTCTTTGTCCTGATTTGCCTAGATATGCTATCAAGGACCTCTTGAACCACGCTTTCTTCCAGGAAGAGACTGGTGTGCGGGTGGAACTAGCAGAGGAAGATGATGGAGAGAAAATAGCCATCAAGCTCTGGCTACGCATTGAAGATATCAAGAAACTTAAGGGCAAATATAAGGACAATGAGGCAATAGAGTTTTCTTTTGATCTGGAAAGAGATGTCCCAGAGGATGTAGCACAAGAAATGGTAAATACAGTTGTCTTGTTGACTACTTGTCACTGTCCTCAGCTTGCCTGGAGCTAAATTTCAGAGGAGCTGGGAAAAGTGAGGATTGTTTGGGAAAGATGTGCTGCTTTTTGGGTATTGCTATAAAAAGTCATGCATCTTTTCATATTATGAATCTTTATGAACACGTTCATAACCTCCCTTAGGTGGAATCGGGGTATGTATGTGAAGGGGATCACAAAACAATGGCTAAAGCCATCAAGGACAGAGTATCTCTCATCAAACGAAAGCGAGAGCAGCGTCAATTGGTGCGAGAAGAGGAGGAGAAAAGAAAACAAGAAGAAAACAGTCAGAAACAACAATTAGAACAACAGCTACAGGCAAATGCTGCTCAGGCAGGGGCAAAACATCGACCGTCGCTTACTGGCACCACTTCTATCCCTACTACTTCTGCCTCAGTTTCCACACAAGTAGAGCCTGAGGAACCAGAGGCGGATCAGCACCAACAGCTACAGTATCAACAACCTAGTATATCAGTTCTGTGTAAGTATCGCCTGGTTCTGTGTGTTTTTTGTGCATGATTTTAATGCCTCTTTGATTGCTTCTTAATGACTTTGCTTTCAAGGGAAAATTAGGCCATGATGATAATCCTGCCTACAATCACACTTTTAAAACCGTGTTGATTTTTCCCATTGTATTAGAATATAGTAGTTGATCAAAGTGTATGCATTAATTCACTGGGGAAGAGAAATGAACTAGTACTCACTGTGCAGGCAGTTGAGTTTTAACATCCCTATTCAGTGTACACCTTGCTGTACAGGTGTTCATCCCATGGAAGGCTTCTAATATTAGATGTCAGAGCTTTTAAAATTGGAATACATATGGGTCTTTCAATATGCCTCTATTGCTGTGGGAGAAGAATCTTACTTTTGCCCTGGCTTAATATTCTTTAAATGTTGCTAGTATGCTGGCAAAACAGAAAACCAGTTAAGATCTTAATCAAACTCCGGATGTGTTGGAGAACAGAGAGGAAGTTGGGATGTTAGTCGCACCAATGGCATTGTTGCATGCAGATGAGAATGAGGTGGTGGAGGCTCAAAGGTTAGGATTTTCAAAAACAGGTGCCCAAAATTGACTTGTAAATCCATACTTAAACCTGAAAATGGTCTGACTTTAAGAGCTAAGTATTTGGAAACTCAAATTGCAGTAGGAATGATGTGAATTTGACACTTGTGATATGTAATTGCTTGATATTCAAAGCCTAGGTTTAGACACCTACTTCTGAAAAATCTTGGCTTGAGATGTAAATTCAAGAAAAACCTTTAGGAGTTGTGAATCTACAGTGCAGGTTTTAAAAATGTAATCTTGTGTTTTAATATTTGCAGCTGATGGGACAGCTGACAGTGGACAGGGTTCATCAGTTTACACTGAATCGTGTGTGGGTAGCCAGCACACTGCGTCATATGGTTCACAGCATGAACAGGCTATCCCAACAGCTACGATCCAGGGGTACACACCTTCAGTTGGTCAAGTGCAGTCACAACAGCCTGGAGGCTATCAGCCACCCACAGTGGTAAGCACACACTTGAAATCATGCAGAAGAAAATAAGCCTTGCTATGTGGTGCATTTCTGGTTGTGGCATCTCAGTCTGCATTATGTACATTGCACACTATATGCAAAGTGCAGACTTCACCGGGAATTAGGGAGGGCATGGTAAAACGCTTCAAGCTGTATGCAGACCTAAATGAAGTGTTATATTAGGGGACAAAAGAGGAAGTAATTGTTTCTGAGCATGCATGGGTAGGGAAAGAGATGAACTGGTAGAAAGCTTGAATGGCAGCACCCTCGGTGCAGGGTTTCTCACTTTTAACTTTATGGACTTAGCTGCATGCAAGGTGGTGTTGGTGTTTTGGCTATACTGAATAGTGAGTGGGAATTCCCATTCGTGAAAAGTCTTTGGAAGAACTTGGAAAGGGTTAGAACATTTTTTTAGTGAGAGCTACTCTAAATTGTGTGATTGCTATGTGTTGTTTATAAGGTTTTGATTACAGATCTTACAGGTAAGAATTTTGAACCATTATAGAATGCTGCATGTGAGAACTCCAGACTGAAGAGATCCCACGCCTGTCTTTCCATTTTATTTATAGCTTGTGTTGAGTTGCTCATCAGTTGTCATGCATATTCCTTTCCCTGGAAAGTCTGCAATGGGCACAGATACCTTTCCTACTATGTTCATTTATATTACCCTTTTATTTGGTACCTTGTTTCCTTGGTATATTGTTAAAGCAGTCTTCAGAAACATACTCCCCCTTCCACAGTAGACCTTAAGCTTCTGTTGTGCTATCCTCACTAGCTCCCTTTATTTGCGAAGTCTCTGAGCCAGAAAGATCATCTTAGCTTCAAACAATGATACTATATTTGGAAGAAGAAAATTGATACCTACATTCATGAAGTTTATTAAAGAGCTTGAGAAATTCTCTTCTGTGAAGACACTTGCCAGTTTTTTGCTTATAAGCAAATGGCCTCTCCATCCCTTCCAAAGGCACTAAGCTAATGCTTGATAAAATGTTTTATTTTGATTTTAGTTTTGTTGGAGTCCCTAAAAACAGCTCACGAATTGCTGTGAATCCATATTTTAGTCTGGGAGCATGTCTTAGATCCTAAACTATTCCACAGTCTTGGCATGGCCAGCTTCCATGTTGAATGACTAGTGACCTTTTGCGAGAGGATGAGAGAATAAACATTTAAGATACATAGACGTGTTGCTTAATGTATTACTGGATGGTATTCATGCACCAGGGTGATGAGACTGGTATAAGGACCTTCACAGAACACAATAGTAGAGAAACCATGAGCAGTCTTCTGGATCGGTCAAGTTATTCGTTGGGCAAACTTTGTTAAAATCAATTGCAGATCTTCAGAAAACCACCCATCTAGTAGACTTCTTGCAAAACATAGGACTCCAGCTCAGTTTCCTTTTGAGGGAAGGTGATGGGCCAGATTACTTCAAGTCTCCAGAAATAGAGAAGTAGATCTTGAGGGTTTTTTGGGCTGTTCTCTAGACTAACACTTCCGTCTTTTATTTTAAAGCAGTACAATTCTTTAGTTTGGTCAGGTCCTGATGTTAATGGCTTCTTGATTGTGGCAAAACTACCAAATTTTAACTTTTTTTTAAATACAGTTACTAGAAAATACGCTCTTATTTTACCAGTAGTCTAATACTTTGAAAATAACTTTACTTTTTTGCTTTGCACTCTATTGTGGATGGTGTGTTCTGAGTTGGCTGAGGAAAGCACTAACTGTTTTCTGTTAGTTTAGTTGTATGTTTAGGAAACCAAACTGCTTTCTCAAAAGCCTCTCTCAAAAGCTGGGGAGGCAAATGGCACTAAGAACTTTGACATGCATCGCTTATTACCACCTCCTCCCTGACCCTAAAGCAGGCATCTAAAGCCTCTTTTATAAGTTTGTAGGGCCTTTCATGGGCTGAATTGTCAGGTACTGGAAACACCACTTCACTGGCTCTGGAGAGCTTTGTACTCTGAGCAGATGCATCTTCTCATCTCTGCTGTGCTCTTTGTGTGCATATACAGGTTGTCTTGTAAAAGCACAAATAGAAATTTCCTTGCTGTTCAGTTTTATCTAAAGCAAACTTGAGTCCTCACAGGTACACACACCTTATTCAGTGTGTGTACTGGCCTTCATTAAGCTCCTTCATATCCTTTTGTACACATAGTAGTCAATAATAGCTGATCATTGCGTGTATCTACCTTTCTATCTCATTAGTTTTGCAGTTTGTTTTCATTTTCAAAATATTCAATTCTTTAATTTTTGTTTTCCTCCTTAGCCTCAACGTGGTCGTAGCATGTCAGTTTGTATCCCCCATCTTTCTGCTGTTCCCTTTTTGTCCTGCATCCCTCCCAGTGCTCCTTCCACCCCACCGCCAGCGCTGTCTGCACCTCTTTCTCCTTCCTACCTTCGGACTGCCCCTGAAGAAACCTTTGCAGAAAAGCTTTCTAAAGCCCTGGAGAGTGTCCTGCCCATGCACTCTGCCTCTCCACGCAAGCACCGACGCTCCAGCCTGCCATCCCTCTTTATCAGCCCCGTATGTGTTACCATATGCCTCCTGGCACACTAAGATAAGTTACCATTAAATACATCCTGGGCTTTGGGCGTTTTAAAGAAGAGTAAAGGAGTTGACTTTTTAACTTGTGCCCTGTGCTACTGGAGTGCTGATTCCTTCTATTTGGGAAGCAGTGTGCTTATGTGGGTAACAACTTATTTTTATTAATATTAGGAGTATTTGATAGCTTAAAGCTTTAGGGAAAGGACCAACAATACCAGTGAGGGCAAAAGGAGAAGCTGCAATCCAGTCCCGGTCTTTTTAAGGTTAGTGAATTGCCTCTCTGCATCTACTCCTGAGCAGTCAGTGAGATTGTCAGATCTTGCATACAACTGTTAATGTTGTTACAACAAGCATTAAAATGTGCCTTGTTTGTAGCTGCCTTGCCCAAGGCCTGTTTCATGGGGACAGTGACACTTGTTAATTTCCAGTGTTATAACAAATCTGACTGTTCCCACCAGTGTGACTAGCAAATACCTCTTCAGCTTTCTCCTGTTTGATTTCTAAGGGAAATTGTAACTTAAGCTTTTGTTCATTTCCATATAAATATTCTCTGGGAGGGATGAAACGTTTGACTTTTTGGGGAGGAGATGTTTTTGGGTGGTAATAAGGACAGGTGCCAGTCCTCATAAAGTAATTAATTTTGAATCCAGCTGGGGGGTGTTAGCCTCAATTTATATATTCTTGGATTTGAGGACTATTTCTGGCTTCTGTCCTATCCAGCAGAGCACAATACAACTGTAGACTCTCCCTCTGCCTGAAGAAGGGTGTTTGTACCCAAAACCTTGCAAAGAACTATTTTTCCAACTACGTAGTTGGTCTAATAAATATCAGATTTACCCAAAGAACCTTGTTTGCCTATGTTCTTAGACCAACGTGGCTGCAACCAACACCCTCAAATCAAAGAGGAAGTTGGAGAGCATGGACTCAGTTTCTAGAACATGAGTTAGTCTTTCTTTCTTGTTCTTTTCCTTATTCACAACACTGCAGTATGGGAGTTTGCTGCTGCTTTTCTAGGGGGGAAGTGGAATGACCTAGTTGATAAAATAAGCACAAACAATTCTAAATCTTATAAAGAAATCAGTTGTTGAGAGAATCTACAAAAGTTTGCTCTGAAAAAGATAATATTGTGCCATGGCTCAATATGCTGCAAATTAAGATAAAATGATCTGCATAATCTACACATTTTTATTTAATACCCTGTTGGATATTCTTGAACAAAATCTTTCTTATTTTGAACTTTGCTGGTTGGGGCAACCTTCTAGACTTTTTTTTTTATCCTATGAGTCTAGGATATGGTACAGAAGGTGCGCACAGTTGCTACTGTTCTCTCAAGAGCAGTTAAAAACACACATTCAATATCAGTAGAAAAGTATGAGGCACTGCTGTAAATCAGCACAACATTTCAATTCACAGTAGTTTTTAATAATTGTGTGACTTCCCAATTTTAGTGTTTGACCTGGAAAAAGGAAAAGGTTGTTTGTTTGTTTTTTGGGGTGGGGGGAGTTGTGTGTTTTTTGTTTGTCTTTTAATCCATCTGTCTAATGCAGGGGGATGGCTTGAGGATTTCACTGTAGCACTGTCATAAACTGTCTGAAGCTTGATATCCAGGTTAAATGCACAGGAATGGTATAACCAATCCTAGTGAGTGGTGATTCCTAAATGAACACCAAAAGGAAAGAAGTAGTAATAGAAATCAACTGAGGTGATGCAGTATAATGGGCAACTGTATCGGGTGGCTTAATCTTGTAGCCCAAAGAAGAACTTTTTTCTTTTCCTGTAGTCTGCACATGCAGTCGCTGGGGCTCCTTAGAGGCCAGCAATACTATACCCTTTTATCCATGACTAACTGAATATAATGACCCCAAAACACCCCGAACATCTCTTGCTGTTGCTTGTGGTTTTTGTGGGCTTGGAAATACAAAACTGTTGCTGCATTCTCACTGCTGTTTCATTCTGAACCTTTCTTAAAGCAGTTGCAAATACTCCTGGACAACTTATGATTGGTATGTCCTGTTTCATTGTTACTGGCAAAACTATCTTCCTTTTTGTGAGTAAGTGGGTGGGACTGGAAAAGCAGCTACTAGCATAAGCAAATACTTCCATATTCAGCTGTGATCGCCATGGATGTATTTAATGGATATTTACAGCATTCCTAAACCTAAATATGTATGCGTTTGAACATGCACCGAGTTAGGCATTCTATAAGGTTACTACCCAGAGCTGCCTAGTGAGATGTGCATGTTAATGTAATTTCACTTCTAAATGTATGAATTACTTGTCTTGTTCATGTCAATACAGCCTCAGTCCATGGTGCATCCACGTGGGGGAACACCAACGTTCCCAGATTCACAGATATTTTTCCCTACTGTTCATGAACGGCCAGTGTCTTTCTCGCCACCACCTGTTTGCCCGCCAAAGGTGGCAGTTGCTCAGCGGCGCAAGAGCACTTCTTTTTTGGAAGCCCAAACCTGCCACTTCCAGCCCTTGCTGAAGACTGGCCAAAATTTAGCTCCACCAGGTGGTAGTCCAACAAATTGGACCTCAGAGGCAGTAGTTATGCTGGGCACACCTCATAGGGTCACTGGAGAGCCACTGCATGTACAAGTCAATCCAGTGTTTGAGCCTGCTCCAGTGTATAGTGACTGCAGATCTGGTCCAGCACCTCCTGAGGATGCTCACTATAGAATGCATCCAGAAGCAGTGTATTTAGTGGGCATGCACTATCCACCGCAGTTGCAGGAGCACTATGATACAATGGCGTATAATTCCCAGGGGACTGAACAGCATTTGAAACAGGTGCCTGAACAGAAGCATGTGCAAGGTGGCCTTCCCCAGAGCCCTGCTTTTGACTACCAATCTGGGCAGACATTCCTGGCAAGACCCCTTCAGACCCTAAGACTGGATTCTGGGATGGGCCCTCTTTCACCATTATCGAGTGCTTCAGCTCCATTAAGTGCGGATTCCACACAGATGAAGTTCCACCAGGTATTTGTTCCACATTCTGCACCTGCTGTGCTAACCCACAGTGGTGACGGGAGAGCAAGCTGTGTCTTTGAGTTCCATGTGCACACGCCAAGTTCTGCTCCAGGAGAAGGGGGAGTCTTACCCCACCGTGTCTACAGGAGCCGTTGTGGCTCCATGGATTTTAATCAGGAGGAGTCCACTCAAAGCATAGGGCTGCATGGTCGTCTTCAGCCTGTGACAGAGGAGCAGTGTAACTACCTTGGTCCTGAGCTAACAGTGCCTAGAGGAGGATCTTTCAGATGGAGCTGGCCAGAAGGAAGCCCAGAATACTCGAGTGACTCATCACAGCTGACTTCATCAGATATTGGCGATTTCCAGTCTCCTCCTCCTGCAGGGCAGTCTTCTACAGCTTTTGCTTCAGACTTCTCATTCCCCATTGTTCAGCTGCCTCAGAAGGTATTGCAAGAGTCGCAGCTCTTCATCTGCTTCCCACAGGGAGCCTCAGCTCAGCAAGCCTTGTCCACCTTGCTTTCATCAGGACCATCTGCACTCTATCCTCAGGTTATAGGAGCAAGCCCTTCCAGAATTTCTCTGCTTTTTTAAGTCATCCTTTACACTAAGGAGAAGGGTTTTTTTTCCTTTCCCCTGCATTTCCCTCACCCTTGTTGTCCTGTCCTATCCCGTCCCATCCCATCCCTGCCTCCCCTCCCTCCTTCCCCCCAACACTCAATCCAAGTTGTTCTAGATCTTGGAGCTGAAAGAGAGATGTGTTTCAATAATAGAAATTTAAAATGATTTTGGTACCATACCAGGTCCTGTCTAAGTAATGGTGGAGCATCAACAGTTTCTCAAACTGTCTGGGCAAAACGCATCTTGGTAGGGGAGGGCCTTCTGATAAGGGTAACAAATAATCAGTGCTGTTTGGGCTGGTCAACTTGGGTTCAGATTGTTTGAAGTACAGGTTTGACTTTCAAACCTGGAACACTGGTTGAGTTGCTATAAAAAGGCCTGACTCATTGGTAGGGATCTGCTTAATTCACAGTTTTTTTTCAGAAACCGTGAAAACAGCATTGCCTGTGATAGCCTAGAAATATTGCATTGGCCATGATTTCCTGTGAAATCAACTTCTTTTAAAAAAACCAAACAAACAAACCCAACGTATTATTCATATAATACATTCTTTTAGAATGTCCCAGTGCTTACTGCAATGTAAAGACAGTCTGATCGTAGACTGTGATCGAGGATTACTGTCTGATAGTGATTTAGATTAAATGAAGGTGCCAGTCAGTGAAGTGAAAATGTTTCAGTGCCATCTTTTAAGAAGTTAAATGCTATGCCACTCTGCCAATTGGAGGCTAGGGGTGGGGCTGCCAGGAAATGCCTGCGAAATCTGTTCTTGTGCCACAACCAAGCTGCAACAATTGTTTTTTGTCTTCCTGTGAGTTAACTAGTCTCCTACTCATTGGTAGAAGGAAATACTTGACTGGAGGACCTTGCTTATTTTGGTCACACAGTAAGAATATCCTTCTTTGAATTTTATACCATAGCAAAATTACGTTGTATACCATGTAGAATTAAAAAAAACCCTGAAATGCCAGCTGACTTCTTCAGTGTTCAAAATAAATCCTTTTTAGGTTTTGAAGGGATTTTGAGGGGTGGAAAAATATATTTATACACATCTGGAAATGTATGTGGTGATGGAGAACTATAACAAGTATTAATATTTAACAAAACTAGCCCTTAAACGAAAGCCAGCAGCTTTTGTGATATTGAGTTAAATAATTCATAAGGTAGCACTTACACAGCTGCAGAATATGGGGCTGTTGAAGAATGACCGCATACTTAGATGTACGTATTTAATCAGCATGTACAGGATTTCTCTTTTTGAGTGCCTCTGCAGTATCCCACACTACTGTGTGTACCATCAGTGGTATATTTTAACTGTGAGGCATTTACATGATGTACATAATTTAAATCTCACAGCTTTGTATACTTAAATAAAACAACCTCCCCCCGCCCCCCCAAAAAAAAAACAACCCAACAAGCCCAAAAAACAGGCCTCTCTAAACAGAATTTCTGTAATAGAAGAGGAACTTCTTGGAAGTAGGCATCTTCTCCCTTGCTCCCTTCCCTTACCTCTTTGTTGCAGGAATTAAATAAGGTCTCTCTCCAACCTTACCAATTGTACAGGGTCCTAAAAAGCCTTTTGGAATGGGGGATGATACTTTGGGAAGGAAAAGAGCTTTGCTTTCCTACTAAACTAAATAAAATAAAATCCGTAAGTAGGTATTTCTTACAACTCAGAACATCAGATGCTATAGTTTTGATTTTCTTCTTTCCTTCCTTCAGTCTGAGCAGAAAATGTGTGTTGCATGCAGCTTTTACTCATCAGTCTTAATGGTGGTTTCTGCTGTCCAAGAGAACTTGCCAAATGACTATTCAGCACAAGTCCAGTGAAGTGTTTTGAAACCACTTGGTATTATAATACTCAGCTGGCTTTTCATTATAATGAACTTCAGTAGGTAGTTTGTTATACATGAAATAGCTGAGTACTCATGTGGTGGTGAAACACATTGCGTGTTAGAGCTCTTGATTGATATATTAAAATAGTGCAGGTTTTATAGATCTACGCTTTAACCCAATGTGGATAGATGGTTAAACAGCTGGACCTAAAACATACCATTTAAAATCATAGGTAATAAGAAAGAGCTTCAGGCCCAATTTAATATCTAGGGAATTTTTCTTGGGGTGGCACTGTGCTTTCCAAAGGGTTCCCTGCCCCCAGTTAAATAATAGGAATGTTTGTAAAAAGTGTTCAGAGAAGAAACATTGCACTGCGATCTTCTATAGCTTGTATTCAATCAGTGGGCATCTATTTGTTATTAAATAGAAATTGTGGGGGAAGATTTGCTTCTCATTTCAATACTTTTAGATACATTTATAAATGTACCTGATATTCTTTGTAGTCAGGCTTCCCACTGAAGTGACAGAAATATAGGGAAAGCTGCTAGAAGATCGTTTTCCTGTCCCCTCCCCCTCTCCACTAGCTCTGTCCCAGTATCTAATAAAGAAATGTAATATTGGAATGGAAAAAAAAAAATGAATCTGCAGAGGAGTTGATTGCCATAACATTTTCTTAATCTCTTGCACATTCATTTGTAGTGTCATTCATCCATTCTTTTCTTTGCTTATTCATTCAAAATTGTCTGTTTTTTAGCTTGGACTCTGTGGACTGGGACCGTCTGTCTCTCTCCAATAGCTGATCCTTTTGATGGTTTCTGAGCTCTCCTGGGAGTCTAGAAATGATCTAGCTTGTATTTTTGGCATGCCTCTCAGTGAGCCTGTAACATGCACGTGCACACGGAGTAGAATTTAATAATGATCTGGAATTCTGTATATCTTTGGATGGTGCTCAAAGATATAGATTTATTTCCTTTTCCTTGCCTTCTCTCTGCCCCTTGCCACCTGTGTTGTACCCATTTGGGGAAGGAGGGCATGTGAAAAATAAAGTTTGTGTTTTGTTTCCTGGTCTTGATCCTGATCCAGATCCTAAAGAGACACTTCTGAAGAATGAAGTTGGTAGGCTGATTTACCTAATGGGCAAGATTTGGGTTGTAAAGGCATTCTGGGGTGTTTTTGTTCTGGAATACTTGGCAAATGGAACTCACTACTTCCCATAGTGCTTTGTTCTGGATTAAAAATTGCTATAATAGAATTAAATTATAGAATAGAGTCATGAAATCTGTGTAGAAACCTGTTCCAGTCAGGCCATCTTGGCTAAAAAGCAATTTTGGTTGCTTGTTGCGGAAGTTACAAATTGCAGAGTCTGATTCTGCTTCTTTCCGTTTGATTCCTCTAGACGCAGGTGCAAGGCCAGGCAGCTTCCAGTACTTTATCAGGTGGTGTGCCATCCCAGCCTACCCCACTCACTCAGCAGGTAAGAAAAATGGTTCCTAAATCCAGAACTAATACATATTTGATTTTTAAAACTTGCTGGCTGGCTGTTTTTGGCAGTCCTAAATATTTTCAGTGTTGCGTTTTGTTGATTTGACAGGCAGGGAGATGTCTCTGTAGTTTCAGATTGGGCGAGGGGAAGGGGTTCTTGAGTTTAGATGGTACGTACCAGTTGGTCTGGACCCAGTCAATTGTGCAACTTCTGTATGGTTTAGTGACTTGTACTGCCTTCATTTTGACTAAAATACATCAGTGAAGACCTGTTTTGGATAAACTCTACTTTTTCAGCTCCAAGGGGGTTCTGTTTTTGTTTTAAATAGGCAAAAGGGTATATCTTCTCTACTCCACAGACTCCTTAAAGTTACCATAGCTCACTTCTAATATAAGTTTGTTTTAGAAGCTGGAATTTTGAAGTATACATTTTGCTATAGTACATGTGGAAGATGTGGGAGGCAATCTTGATGAGAATTTCTAAACATGTACACCTTGTAGGTAATGTTTGAAGACTTGGGTTTCTTGCCTTGGGCTTTTTTTTTAACTATTAAAAGATACTAGTCATCTTGAGCTTTGGTACAACTATCTTTCAGAAGTGTTTTGTGAATACTGTCTTTGTATGCCTTTAGGAAAGGCATATAATCTTTCCCTTTTATCTTTTGGAAAGGGAATTCAGACTAACCTAGTGTAAGTAACCTGATTATAATAATTAAGGAATGTGAGTTGGTGCAGACATGAATTACCTTATGGTAGCTCTATCCTTTTCACCATTTTGGTGTTCCAGTTCCAGTTCCTATTTGTGTAAAAACTAACTCTTCCAAACTCAAGGTTCCGCTTGACGTCAGATAAAACAGACTTCAGTCATTTTTTTTTTTTTAATTTCTTGACTTTCTTTAAAGTTACACTATAGCTATCACAGCTTTTAATGTTAAACAGCCAGACATGAATCCTACAAATTAATACGTGTATGTGCATTGTTTTTTTGCTTGGGTTCACAGAAAAGATTCCACTCAGATTGTCAGTTCTCTTGACACCTTAGTGTGCTCTCTTCTGGGTAGCACTGTATCTGTCTTGATATACTGCACAGTATTGTTTATTACCTTTGCACTGAAAATCTGTGTACATGCATTAATTTTTGCTGTGACAAGCTTGGACTAGGGATCAGTGTTGGTGTTAGTTTAGTACTGATTACTAAAAATGGTTCCCCTGAACAGACTGCAGTTAAATTTTTGAGAGTTTAGTTGCCTGGGTGTGGGGGAAGGCGGGGGGCAAGGAGGAGCTGACTGTCATCTTGGGGTGCTTATTGAAAGTGGGGAAACTTGAGAAGCTTTCTCTACAGAAAAAATAATTTATCACCTCCTCTCTGCCACAGAGCGCACAGCAGCTACCCGCTTCCCAGCAAACGGGACAGTTTCAGTTGCAGCAGCCACCAGGTTCCAGTGGAGGTGCCCCAACACAGTCTGTTACTCAAACCCAGGCTCCACAGATCATGCCAATGCCTCAGGCACCAGTTGGGTCACAGGTAAACAAGCTTGGTCTTTTTGATGTGAAGGAATACTCTCTTCTGATGGACTTCTCAGCTGTCCCTCTTATGTTCTATCTTCCTTCTCTAATGGTTCAAAGAGTTGCAGGAGGTGACATATATATCTTGCTTACCAGTTTGTCAGGAAATGATGTACGTGTATAGCTAGAAAAAATGTTCTTTGGAACATGTGGCAGGAGTTCAACAATATAGGCTGAGGATCTGTCACAGTGTCTGAAATGTGACTAAGGTACAAGTTCAAAGATTAACATATACTGTATTATCTCTATTTTGAGAAGTTTTGTTTACCATTATTTTGAAGCCCTGGATGAATTGCACTTCTAGGACAATTATTTTTATACAGCTATCAGAAACATCAGCTCTTTAGGTGATGAGCCACGTGTACCTTCTCTTTCAGACCTATCTTCTTGCCTACCCAGCCTTTCCTCCCTCCCTCTCTCCTTCCTTCCTGCCTTCCTTGCCTAAGATGCTTCTCTTTCTGAATGGTTTTACTGCAGACTGGCTTACATCTCTATCTTGAATGTGTGAGCTTTAATAATTTTTTTAAACTGCTTTTGTTGCCTGTTCACCTAAATGCTTTTTCCAGTTATTTTGGTTTGCTTCAATTTATGAGTTATGCCATTCTTTGAATGCTGGCACAGTGACTTTTTAATTCTCATTGCTTCATGCTTATATCCAGAGGAGGCGGATTTCAATGCTTTTTGCTGGGGGCGGTACTTTTCCATAAGAGAAAAAATTGGCTTCAGGGAGAAATTGAGGAGATCAGAATCTGCTTATATACAAGCAGATACTGTAGCAGTGGTGAGACCTTGCTGGTCCATCATGAAATGTGCATTTGTTGGAAAAGCTCACTTGAAGACCTTCAGGGAAAGTGTTTCAAAATGAGAACTTTGGGACTAATCCATTTTCCAGCCACTCTGCCAAGTGCATCCTCCACCCCACTCCTGAAAGGTTGTGGTAACTAACTAAAATAATTCTTTCTTTGACTAATGCATAACAATTCTGCTTTCTGCAGCTCTGCTTCCTAAAAAATCTTTCTATTTTTCTTTACCTCCCCAGCTTCCTGTTTCCCAACCAGTACCGATCATCCAAGGCGAGCCTCAGTTACCTGTTGCAGCATCTTCTCTCCCTCAACCATCAGTTGCCCCAAACATCCCTGTTGGTTCTCATTATATCCCTGTGGGACAACCCTTGCCAACTTCCCTGCTCCCCCAGTTCTCAGCGTCTCAGCTGCCCATGGCAGCACCTCATGGGTCAGTGGCTCAGCCAGGTTTCCAGTCTCTGCCCATGTCTATGCCAGCTGCCATTAATCAGCCACTACTCACTCTAGCCACATCTGCTGCAGCAGCTGCTATCCCTGTAGGATCAACTGTTGTCCCTAGCCAGCTCCCTACGCTTCTGCAGCCTGTGGCCCAGCTGCCCAGCCAGGTTCTCCCACAGCTCCTGCAGCCAGCTGTTCAGTCCGTGGGATTGCAGGCCAGCCTTGGACAAGCTGCTGAAGCTTCACTTCCAGCTGGAGATGCTTTGTACCAGGTATTATCGCAAGCCAGAGAGAGCCCTTTTCCATGTCTTGCCAGTTCCTCTAGAGCACTAAGTCTGAGTGGGTGCTGCAAATATTAGTGGATATTTGAATTTTGGTACAAGTCAACAAGCCACACTTGCACTAAACGACAATTCTGTCATTACAGATGGCATGAGAAGGCTGTAGTTTCGCAAAGCTTTGTTGAATGGCCAATTATTGTTCTTTTTAATTATTTTTTTTTGGCAATGGCACTTTTAAAATGTCAGGGGAAAAAAGTAGCTGCTCCAAGATACTGCTGTCAGTTAGAGTAAGAAAACGGTAGTGTCTGTGCCAGCGATGTCAACATGGCGCAGTGTCTTGGAAAAAACTGTGCAATTACACCAGTAATTAGCCAGTTTGTTGATCCTAAAATTAACTGAAGTGGCAGATGCAAGCCGTGAAGTGGAGGGATAGTGGAAAGCACTTCGACAGCTTCTGGTGTAGTCAAATAACTTTTTATTTTTGTACTCGTTGTGAAAGTGGTAGACTGCATAGCAGAGGAATGTTCATAGTGTGAGCTTCACTGTTTTTAATGTAACGCATGCACAGTGAAATGTGCACAGTTCCAGAGTACACAGTGATAATAAGTACTGCTTGCTTGTATGTAGAAGCATTCTGAATACTCAAATCAGTTCAGGTGATGACAGATGGATAATAGGGACATTAACTATAAGTTACTGAATATTTAATAGCATCAGTTGTGTAACAGTGGGTATCCAGCCTGCAATTTCTTCAGGTTTTCCATTTCAAGATTTCATAGATAGCTATGAGGTAAGGTGTAGAAAATGAGGCTACTTTCCCTGGGAACTCTGAGAGCCTTGGAAAAAATCTTCTGGTTCATACTGCACGGTATCTCTGGAGGTGGGTTTGTAAGGTGGTCTCTGAAATGCTTGAACAGTGAAGGGTATTAGGTTGGAAGGTGCCTCTGCTGCTTTACTTGCTATGTTTTTTCCCTTTTTCTCAGTTTGTTTCTTGCTGGTTTCTTAATTTTTGTCTTGAAATGCACTAACTTGGCTCCTTCATTTCTGTCGCAGGGTTTCCCATCTCGGTTGCCGCCACAATACCCAGGAGACTCAAATGTTGCTCCCTCCTCTGCTGTGGCCTCTGTTTGCATCCCTTCTGCAGTACTGTCCCCTCCCATACCCACTGATGCATTGGCTCAGCCAGGCTACCTTACAGCAGTGGTTCAGCCTTACGTGGAACAGAACGTTTTAGTTCCTTTGGGTGGTGTAGGAGGACAGGTCCAAGTGCCCCAACCTACAGTGAGTTTAGCACAACAGGTCTCAGCTGCATCCTCACAGCAGGCAGCCTTAGAGGTAAATGCAAACTGTGTTGGGTAAATTTGTAAACTCTACATTTCAAGGCATGTGGGTGTATGTGGGGGAAACTAACCCCTTCCATGTTGGTCTTCAGATGGGCATTAACAATTTAAAAATGACTTTTTCTTACAGCAGAATGTCATGCCAGTGTGGGGACCTTGTTGCCACTGGTTGTTCTGTTGGGAAGTGAGTGTGCCTCCCAGAGGCAAAACCTGCTAGCACTTCACTTCTTGCTAATACTTTAGATCCTTTTTGTCTTATACAAGACACTGCAATTGATAATCCTTGAGAATCTCTCATTATATACCTGTTCCCTGCAGCATTGCTGTTGCTGGAAGAGAGATTTGAATGGTCTTTGTTCTGCATTGGCTTCCCTGTTGCACATTCTGCTTGTAAGACTGGCTGCATGGCAAACTTTGTAGCAGATAGGATGGCTGACCTCACCAGGCACTGAGATTTGCTTTAGAGCTCTTTGTTGGATGCCAAGATTTGAGCCTACTAGATGCTGGTTGTTTAATTGTTTGAAGGGTAGTGCTTTTGGCTTCACGGATTGATTTGAGGGAGAAATAATGAAATGTGAGTGAGAGCAGTGAGGATACAAGACTCATTGAGCTCCTTGAAAAGTTTTCTCTCTCCACAGGGGGTTTCTCAGGCTTCTGTTCCAGAGTCTCTACCACCAACACAGCAACCTCCTGCGCAAACTACTCCATTGACTTCTTCTATGGACAGGCAAGCAGGGATTTTTTAAATAACTAAGTTGAATTCAAATGCTTAGATATTGGCTAAGAGAAGACTTTTTCTTCTAGGGTGGTTATTAAGCATCTGTTCTTTACGTGAGCTGATTATCAAGAGCTTGGAAAATAGAAATTGACATAACTTCTATTTTCCTTTGAAGGCTTTTCTCCAGTGCTGAGAAGCATTATTTTTAAGCAGGGCCTGGGGAGAATGCACAGTTTGTGCAGAGACCTTCTTCTCCTAATCTGTTGTAGTTGCACACAATAGGGTGCTACTCAGTCCTGTTATTACTGAAAGTTAATTTGGGGGTTGGATATTACAGAGCTTGATGCCTCATCCGGGAAAGTACGCTTGAACTGATTAACTTCAAAAGATATATTTTATGAACGATTACCTTTTTAATGTGTTGTAAAATACTTGTTACTCAAGTGACCATATAATATAAGGTTTAACCCTGCTCTCCCTCCCTCCATTCCCCTCTTTCTTCAACTAACCAACACTATCCTGAGATGGTGACTAATCTCTTGGGGTGAGGGGAGGCAGGGATTAGTTGGTTACAAAATGCTGAGGGGAGAGCTTTATATTAATGAAACCAATTAATGAAAATTAAATTTCTTGCTTTCATTTTTTTAGTGCCCATTCCGATGTTGCTTCAGGTATGAGTGATGGCAATGAGAACATTCCAGCATCTAGTGGGAGACACGAAGGGCGGACTACCAAACGGCATTATCGGAAGTCTGTACGCAGCCGCTCTCGCCATGAGAAGACTGCTAGGCCAAAACTGAGAATTCTTAATGTGAGTTAGTACTCATTTTAATTGTTGAAAACTGCTTTAGCCAGTCTGCTAAAGATGGATGGCTTATTCCTATCCTCTTCTGATTGATTAATCATAAATACTGATCAGCTTCCTATTTGAAATGGTTACTTTTACCCAGCTTCTTTTCTCCTGTGTATACCAACATATAGCTCAATGGCACAAAGCATTCTTTCAGTTTTAGAGGTCTTTGTTGTAGAGATCAACTGAGAGGTGTGCAGGGGAGCATTAAGTATATTAGAATATTGAATTAGGAAGTTATGCTAGAAGCTGCTCCTGAATATTTGCTTTGCAAGCCTTGCTCTTAGAGTTAGGTTAGAAATGGGTTAATTTTAAGTCTGGAGTTTAAGAAACCTCATAATGCTTATTGTGTTACCAGTATATTTTTCTTTAAAATGTTGAGGGTAGACTCTTTTTTTCATTTCTTGCTTCAGTATAAGCTGTAAGGGTTAAAATAAGCCTTCTATAGAAAGGGGATAGAAATACGGCATTCATTCAGATTGGTGTGGTTTAGAGATCCCTGTGAGTTTTGGCATTCAGTGCACCTGATGGCAGGTTAGAAAGTTAATAAAAGAGCTGTAGGAGGTAGAGATCCTTTTACCTTTTAAAAATCAGGGAGGTTGTAGTGTCTTCTGCAGTTCAAGGTGGAAAGCATATTTCTTTTCTTCTAGGTTTCAAACAAAGGTGATCGAGTGGTGGAGTGCCAGCTAGAGACACACAATCGGAAAATGGTTACTTTCAAATTTGACTTGGATGGTGACAACCCTGAGGAAATAGCATCAATTATGGTAAGTCATAATTCAGGTGTAAATGAGGAATTGAACCTTGTTGTTAACCATATTAGTAATGCAAAAACAGTTTTGGACCTGCCTTCCTGAACTGCTGACTGGTCATGGTTTCTCTCTGTTACACTATCTTTGTTTTCTGTTCCCCTAGTTTTACTAATACCACAAGCAAATTTGTATCTCTTGTGACCTCCATAGTAGATAATAAGTCCAAAGTTAACACATTGTTATATTCTTCTAAAGATTTGGGTCAGCTTCTGTTTGAGAACTTCTTTCCTTCTCTGAATTTACTTCAGTTCTTACATACTTTGAGGTCTCAAATCTTACTATGTTGTCTTGTGAGCTGACATAAGCTGCAGCCTCCATTTCTTCCATACGTATTTATTTTTCTGTTACTGGGGAAAGTTTCATTCTCTTTCATACCACAGGTATGAATGCTATATGGCTTTTATCTACTTTGTGCATTATCATCAGTGGCAGAAGTACCTTAACTGCTAGTTATTAGTGGCTTGGCCTAGGTTAGTCTATATACAGTTGAAATACCACTTAAAAACTGAGTTTGTGAACAGGACTCCGGGCACAAGTAGATTATCTGCCAGCTACTGAGTCCTCATTTGGACAAATATGTATGCCTTAACTGTTTAAAATTAGTATTGGCATAGGTTAAAGAACCTTGCTTGTTTGCTCACTCACCATGTGAAATATGCATTGACATAACTTTTATCAGATACTTTTAGTACATGTTGTTCATTAATAGGGGTAGTACCTCAAGAAAACACCAACAGTATATATAACACTTCAAAGTAGTCATGCAAACCTTGTAAAAGGGGCATCCGAACCAAACCATAGAATGCATTTGTGATTTATTTAACTATTGTCTGTATCTTCCATATTCACTATATATAAGCAGATGGATATTTATAAAATCACGCCCCCCCCCTCAAAAAAAAACAAACAAGAGACAAAGAAAA